ACACACACACACACACACACACATGAGAGCTTTCCTGTTCACCATGAGCTCCTGCAGCCAGCTGTGTGCACGGTCTGTGCACGTGCAGCAAGGGTAAAACTGGGGGGGCTCAGCAGGCTCCTTCAGGCCTGGAGGTCCCCACTCCATGACACCTCTGCTTCCAGCCTGCTCACGGTGGACGGGGCACAAAACTTGCCCTGGCTGAGCACAGACTAAATTTCTGTGACTCTACCTTCCCCACCAGCTGGAGAGATGGGCTCCCTTTCCCTGGTCTGAGAGGCGTGCCTAGTGCTTCCTGGTCTCATGGTGGGAAGGGGCCGGCATAAAGGGCAGGGAGTTTGCAGCCAGCTCCTCCAGCTCCCCACCCAGCCCTGAGCTTGCAGGATTTGGGAGGCATGCGTGAGGTGGTGGTGGTGGTGGTGGGGGGTGCGTAATGAAGCGCACATGTGCCCAGGGAGGGCTTGCAGCCTGGCTCTGGAGCCTGGTGCAGGCAGCCTCCAGTGTTTCCAAAATAGATGCAGCCCCTGCCCCCATCCCTACCCCCATCCCACCCCGTCCTTTTGCTGCCAGAGGCCTCTCTGTGGTTCTGGGCTTCGGAATCCTGGAGAATGGCTTTGTTCTCTGCAGCTCTCGTTGGTTTGTTTTCTCTCTGCTCTGGGCTTTCTCAGATGGATTTTGGGGTATGGTCTTTGATGAGGGCTGCCGGAGGGTCTGGGGTTCCTGACTCAGTGCCCTTGCCTGATGAGAGGGGTCCAGGACATACAAGGTCCAGAGGCCAGAATTAGCAGAGCATGCTGTTGGTGCATAGGGAATGGATGGTCCGGGGAGTCAGGGATGGATTTAAAAGGGACCCAGGAGGGGACCAGCAGTTAGTGTAATGGCTATGTCACTGGACTCCCACGCAGTTGACCGCGGTTCGCATCCCGGACCCAGTGGCTTAAAACTCATGCCCAGCACGTGTGCATGCATGTCCAAGATCCCGGAGGGGAGAATGGAGGAGGAGAGATTGCAGCGTGGCCATCCCCCCTGGGGGGGGTGATTTCTCACTTTCTGTCTCTCTGTCTCTGTGTCTGTCTGGCAAGCACATGCGCCCTATAGCCAAAACCTCTAAAAAAAAAGTGTGTGGGGGGGACCCAGGAGCCCAAGTCTGGCCAGGTAAAACCTCTAAAAAAAAAAAGGGGGGGACCCAGGAGCCCAAGCCTGGCCAGGTAAACACCTACGACCCCCTGCATCTCTCAGCCTCTGTGCACCGGCATCTGCCTGCCCCCTGCCACTTCCCGTGCCCCGGCTGCTGTACTCCACGGTCCCTGTACTTTAGGAAGATGGCTGTTCCGTGCCTCACTTTATCTATAAGCAGCTGAGAAGCCTCTACTTCATGGGATTGTTTCGAGGGCTAAATGAGAAAGGCTGGTGAGGATTATTCACCATCTGGCCTTCAGCAGATATTTATGGAGCGCCCTCTCTGTGCCAGTGAACGAGGCCGGCACAGCCTCTCCCCTGGGCTCTGATGCAGGGAGGGCCTTAAACAGATGCACCCTGTCCTGAGGTTGAAGCCTCCTATGCCTTACAGGAAGGGAGCCTAATGGGGAGGAAGTGTCAGGTTTCCCGATGGAGGATGGAGCGTCCTGGGGAAGTAGGTTTGGGATTTAGAACCCCCTGGTTGCTGTTGTGTGGGAAGGGCTTGGGGACCCCCTGTGAGGGAGGGATTTGGGGTGGAGAGAAGCTGGGAGGTAGTTTTGCCCTGCTCAGCCCCTGGGGTGTACTGAGAGCCCTTTAATGGGCTGGAAGTGACCCCCAGCCATGTTGCCATGGCAGCCCTGGGGCCGGGAGAAGGTTTCCAGCCACTGCCCCAGGCCTGGCTGGGGTGGGGTCCTGTCTTTGAGGGAAACTGTGCCAGGGATCCAGGCCGCCTTAGCTGGGCTGTCCCTGCCTCTGAGTACGTCCAGATGTGGC